TGTGTATCTGGCGTAAAAAGGTCCCAAAAGGGGGGGGGGGGGACGGAGGCGTCATTCCAGCTCGACCTGTCGCGACATATTTTTCAGCCTCCTGATATTGCTCTGCTCGTGCCCCCCCCCCCCCATTCATATTAGGTTTTATTGTTGCGAAACCCGCTGGCATGCTCCCCTTTTCTCACGGGCCTCGGAGCACAGATACACACGCACGCTCGCACGCACGCACGCAGGCACGAAAGCACGCACTTAACATAAGGTACATAACTGATTGGTTGAGATAAGCACACCATCGATTTTCCCGGTTTATAGGGTACCGGTAGCCTCAAATCACGAGATTCTCGCCAAGTGCGGTGCGCTTGTGTTTTGTCTCGCCAGGGAGAGGCAGGATAGCCGTTTTGAACTAAGCGCTTTAGATAACTAGAGACATACAAAATTGGCAGTGACTACCGATTAGCGCCATTACAGGCTTCCTTCTTACTTGTGTTTAGTTAGTGTTTGTTATACCTGATATAAACACTAAGTTTGTATAACAAACTTGGTGTTTGTTATACCTGATCTTGTCGTAAAAGCTGTGCAGCCTGATGCCCAGCATGGGTCGTTTAGACTTGGGTTTCATGAAGGCTTCGGCTTAGTAACGTACGCAGGTTGTTGACATGTGATAGTACGACTTATTGAGAATGTTGATAAATTTTTATTTGAATGTCCTTTACGGGTTCGGAATGTTATCTGCATGTCACACGCTTCGGATTCCAGTGCTAATTATGTCCTTAACCGCTTTTAATTTTCAATCATGAGCACAGTCGGGAATAGCAAGTTTTCTTAACATAACCACTATGTGTTTAAAAACATCGTATAAACGGTACCATGTGAAATATGTTGAAAACATCAGTTATGTTTAACATAACAGCTCCCATCTAAAAACACCAATAATACGCAACAAAAAATAAATGTCTTCGTCGCTGATAGACACTACAAACGGTGCTTGTCTGTAGTCAATTGTTTGTGCAACGAAATTGTTGCGTTTTTCGCTAATTCAGATGACAAGACAGGCTGTTACTAGTAGTTGGCGACATGACACATTTCCTACCGACATGAACTGCACATTCGCAGGACGAATATTTCTGTTAGATTCCGTAAAATGCCGCTGCAACAGGGCCGCAACTCTAAAGCCGCAATGGCGAGGTGTTACCAGTTGCTCTGTAGACTCAAATGATGTCAGAGGGGGGTTCGACACATCTCTAGGAAACTATGACGTCATACAGTCGTCCGCTGATCGCCGATGCTCTCTGACGTCCCTTCGTTCGCTCGTTGGCAGTTTGTTTCAATGCTTTACAGGTCGGTTGGTTGGCAAGCGCGTCAACTATTTGCTATTTGAACGGTCTCATCTGACTATATAAGCCAACGTGATTTAATTTCCACTGCGGGTCCGCGTCGCGTCCTGCGCAAAGAGTAGAGTTAGAGGTTCGGATGCTTAGGTGGTATGTGCTCTTTGATGATCGGCAGAGGTTACAGTATGGAGCAGCGGAGACTCATACCGCACTACTTCCCAGGGAGGTGTCGTGTACCTGACCGTTCGATGCCCGCTGGTTCGTGCCGGCTAACCGCCGGCCTCGGTGCTGTCCCGGCTGGGACCCCTAGGGCCTCCGGCAGCGCGTGACATGATCTCCCGGTCACAGGTCGGAAGGGCGCGGGGCTGCGTGGTGCGCGGCGAAATCAGGTCCGTTTGAGGTCAGTTCCCATGGCCCGCGTCCACCGGTGGGGAGCCGCTACCGTGTACTGATGCGGCGCCCCGAACGCCCCGTCATGCCGACCCGATGCAGAGCCGCATCACAGTGTTTGGGCTCAGCGAGACAGCGCCTTCGAAAAGTTATAGATTATGAGGTATGAAAAATACCAGCTCCGCGCGGCCGGCCCGCAACCTTCCATAGGGCCGGCAGTAAAACTTTCTTAGTGACATAGCCGAAAATTGGTTGTCTTTACGAGCATCGTGCTCGGTCGGGCCTGCTGTGCGACGACGCAGAAGGTAGAGCGGCAGGGCAGGGCGGCAGGCCAGGCGAACAAGCATCACACGCGTCCCCAGGCGCCTCGAAGTGGAGAAAGGACGAACGATTACGAGTAGCATTAGCGGCTTAACAACATTCCTTTTGAGGAGCACCAATAAACGAAAGACTTCTTTTAAAGCCCAGACACACATCCCTACGGGAACTGCCTAGCCCGCATCCCCTTCGCCGTTACTCCCTGGCGGCGCTACAAGAGGGAAGCGCCCGGCGCGGCAGGGCGGGGGAGCGCTCCCGCGGGGCCGCCGGAGGGGTGGGAGAGTGAACGATATCTCGCCGGGCGGCTGAGGAGCTGATGAGGCGCGGGCCGCGAGCCGCTGAAGGGTTGAGGCGCCAGAGGCGGCCGGAGATGGTCAGAGTTACGACCGGCGCTCCCTGGTCAACAGTGGCGGCGCCAGTCAACACGCCGGACGGGACCGGCAGGGCTGGGCCAGCCGGCGAAGCCGCGAGGCATGCTCAGTGGCCGCGGATGCCAGCAACGGAACAGCGCCGTTGACACACAGGCTGTAGACGTGTAAACGATGCGCTGACAAACACCCAGTTCACGACTGGTTTTTGTGAGTGGGGTGATGGTCATTGCTCACGCCGTTGATGTCAATTTTGGGTGTTACATCACTTTTTCAGCACACTTGAATGGCTGAGCATAAATGAAGCAATGTCGGTAGTACCTGACTGCATAATTCGCTGAGTGGCCTCTGCACTGAAAAGCCACTAGAATAACACCCACTTACTATACAGAACAACAAACACGACTTTCAAAGAAGAGTTGAGCCCATAGAAGCAATGGGGCAGCGAGACCAAATTATGCATTTTTGAACATATAACATATAACGTATAGTGGCGCTAGTTTGGCACTTTTGGTATTTCTTTAATGAGGGTAGACGAAAAACCGCCATTAAATGTCAGCCCATGACCCTACAACGCTCTCCCAGCGCAGTATCACTTTCACGTCCAGCCAGCACACACACACATACAGATACACGCACACACACATCAACGAACGCTCTGAGTCGTGATTGACGGCAGCGTGGAGTCGCTGAATTGCTGAGGCTTTCCAGGGCACATGCTTAGGTTCCGCCGTGCGGCGGCGCGGCGCTATCGAGCCTGTAGCCGTCCTCCGACCCCCAAAACTGCGAGCAGAGTGAAGCGCAGCATGACAAACCGCCGTCCACGGTCCGCTTAACAGCGGGCAGAACACGGCGCAGTCTAGCCAACCACCGTCCTCGCTCCCCTAAACTGCGACAGGGCGGAGTGCAGCATAACCAACCACCGTCCTCGGTACCCTAAACTGCGGACAGAACAAAGCGCAGCTCTACCAGCCGCCATTCTCCGACCCCCTAAACTGCGGGCAGAACAGAACGCAGCATAACTAACCACCGTCCTTGGTACCTTAAGCTGCTAGCAGAACAGAGCGCAGCCCAGTCGGCCGCGGCCCGTCTCCAATATCGCGCGTTCGACCGGCGCCCATTCGCCGCGGCGACCGCCCTGAATAGTAACGCCTTCGAACGGCATGAGCGTTGTGTTGCGTCCACGGCATTGGCTGCGGTCGAATCACAGTCGATTGGCCACCGGCGGCGCTGAGCGGCTCCCGTTTGAGACGAGACTGCGCTGACCGTCGGTCGCGCGGAGTGGGAGCGGTGTCAAGGAGGCTGGATGGAGACTGGAGGGGACTGACTGGCAGGCGGTGCCGCCGACGGAGGACCGCCTGGCGCCGGATGGAGCCTGGAGGGGGCTGACTGGCACGATGCCATTGACGGGTCGTTGCCTGACGCTGGACAGAGCCTGTAGAGGACTGACTGGCAGGCGGTGCTGTGGATGGAGGACCACCTGGCGCTGGATAGAGCCTGGAGGGACTGACTGGCAGGCGGTGTCATCGACGAAGCATCGCCTGACATTGAATAGAACGTGGAGGGGACTAGCTGGAGGGGTCGTCGTGCGAAGCCGTGTGCAACGATGTCGTACGATCGGCACAGTGCCCCTCCAGTTGACAAGGCTGTGCGCCATGCTATGACAAAACAAGTGTTCTCAGTAGTGAACACTGCCGATGCTTGGCTGCCGGAACAAAGCAGGCATGGATTTAATATATCTAACATCATTGTGACCGACATGGTAGCACAAAATAGAACTTAGATTGGTAAAGCATCATCAGCAGGTGCTGCTTTGTAAGGATAAGCAAACAAGTAGAAAATACAACGTGATACCTGCTCCATGTAAACATCTCGTTGTCCATTATTTTGATACAACTGAAGAATGTGGCCGAGGCTTGGGAGCTGTAGTGAGCGGGTGTAACAATGACGCTGCAGACAGATGCACTTAAGGATTTAATGATGACAAACTACGTGAAATGCAAATTTGAATTTGCATTTGCTTTTATCAGCCGGGTGCCCAACAATAGAATACTATCATGTATTTGCGAATTTTGCGACGGCTTGAGTTTCGAAGTCACTGATCCGGTCCAGTGCTGTAGCCAGGATTTCGTCCTGGAGGGGGTCAATTCGGATCACGGGGTCCCCTTTACTCAAGGAAATTTCTTCGTTGTCACGACAAGGGCACGAATTTGAAATACACATGACCTTTGCAGGCCCGGAATCTTACTTTGATGTCCCGTTTCCAGTTTTATATTCTAAAACTCCTTTGGGAGCCTTAAACTCCCGAAAGTCCTGGAATGCTCGGCCTCATGGAAACCCAGAGATTGAGTGCGGGAAAAAGGTGGGTAGGGGCAAGGCACCGAAAGCCCCCTCCCCCCCCCCCCCCCATCCCCCATCCATCAACACCACTAACGCAGTCCATCTTTTAGCAATGTCAACAAGGATAAAATGAAACGAATTTCACAGATTTCGGCCAATTAAATGTGATTCATGCGTATTTTAGTGGCATTATGCCATTTCTAGCATCAGAGCACTACTCATGCAGCCATGTAAGAACAAAATAACAAAAAGAATGGTTACAAGAGGAAACCCAGGCATGTTAACTGCCAACCTTTGGGGAATGGGTCCGTGATTGCACATTTACTTGCATGGATTATAATCACCTTTTCGTTGGGTTTCAGAAAGCAGTGTAATAGAACTGCGAGTGCGCCAGCTGGGTATGGAGCTTGGTGGAAGTGGTAAGCATAGGTAAATGCAAAATGGATTAAACCATTAAGATCATTCTTTGGACAGCTTTATGGTGGTATTTCATGTTTAGTCTTACGCAATGTAGCTGTTATGAAGTAAAATTATGCGAACTCCCCCAGTCCGCCATTTCATGAGGCATCAAGTTTGCTACGCACGCGCTATTCACGAACATGCAACGCATTCCAGTGTCGTTTCTGGCACCAGGTTTTGTAAACGTGTACAAAGTTGATTATGTTGCATATATATATGAACATTCCGGTCCTAAGTTATTGGCCACTAGACTCAGTATGTTTTTGATGGGAACGGATTGTTGAACTGTGCAAAGAAGGGGAGTTTTCTTGCGCATTTACCGCTCAAATTTGTTGCATGCTTGGATGGCATCCCTGGTCTCTCCTTGTTTTCATGAAATGGAGCTAGGT